ACGAACAGGCCAGGCATCCCCTTGTGAGATTAGATAAGGGACAGTTCATGAGAAGTGAAAAAAATAGGGATGATTTGGCATTGTTTTCTGCTCACTATTTGCACCATACCATTATTAATTGGCCTTGTTGGGGCTTAACACTTGGGAATGTTTCAGCAGAAATAGCACATTGTTAAGAAGTACAAATTATTCGCAATACAGCACTGGGTGAGCTTGTAGTGAGCAACCCTAATCCTTGGTGGAGGTAGCAGGGAGCTGGGATTTGCTCCTCAAAGTGGCATGTGCAGTACCCTGGCCTGCTTGCCTGCCTGTGAAAGGTGACAAGGACAGTGTGGGGCAGTGGCTTGTCACTGGGTGAGCTCTCCTGTGCCCGGGGCGCTCCGCAAGCGCGGTGCTGCCTGCACCGATGCCGTGATTCGAGGCGGCTGCGGTGCCAGTGGTGCTGCCCTCTGACAGGGAGCCAGCTCAGCTGGCGGATGTGGTTGCTGACCCCGGACTGCTCCTCCTTGGTGTCACGGCAAAACAAGAGCTGGTGGTTTTTAAGCGAAGCCGTCTTGCACCGAAACTCGTCGGGGAGCTCCCGGTTGCTTTCTCGGCGGTAAGCGACCAGGAGCGATCTCACGCGTTGGGCTGCTTGAGCTGTGCTGAAGGTCCTCGTCTGGCTGCATTCTAGGTCTCCATGGGTTTGCTCCAGAGCTGTTTTCCAAGGAAGCCAGAAGCACTGGGCGTTTGTACTTGTGTTTCTGCTAGTGGGAGAAAGAGAGGAGGAGCAGTTCGCCTTTCTGTTGCAAGACCAGCTCCAGGTTTCCTTTCTGCAGGCCTCATGTCTCTGGGGTCTTCTCCTCAGGGGCTAATTCTTGGAGCTGTGGGAAGGCCATCTGGATGGAGCAGTCAGTAGCTGCCTTGTCTGTATGTGCTCAGTGCTGGAGCTGGGAGAGCAAGGTCCAAGCCGCTGTTGGCTGTGGCATAGCATTGTCTGGCGCTGTGTGCTGTGGGTCAGTGCCTGGGGGTGCTTCCAGCATTGCTCTCAGACCTCCCTTTCTTCCTCCTCGTTGGAGATCAGGCAGCAGGGACCCGGGCAGCTGCAGGCGGGGGAAGGAGAAATGAAGCGCACCAGCAAGTGCACGTGTCCAAAACAGAAAGCGAGAGAGGCAGAGCGGCTGCGCGGCTGCAGTTGTTGGCTTAGTGTGTGGGTTATCCTGAGGTCGGGGACAACGCAGAAGATTTTGCTGGAGACTTTATGGTATGTAAGGCAGCAGGGCGAAAGCTTTTAAAAAAATTTTAAAGGTGGGGGGGAAAAGCTGCTTTTTTTTCCTTCCATGGGGCTAGAGAGCTTTTCTGTAATAATGCATTCAAGCTCCTGGCTTTAGGGCAGTTTGATTAGCAAATCTAAATGAGCCTGGTAGACTCAGGTTATTTAGGGTCAGAGGATTTACCAGGAAGGGTATGGCAACACTGCTCTTGGCACTCCTAAATCAAGTAATAACACAAAAAGACCTTGAGACTGCAGGTGCTTTCCCTGTCTTCCCCACCCAGCACCCCATGCAGGATCAGGGCGGATGTGTCCAGCCTTCCTGGCTGGCAGCAAAGAACATTTTTGGCACCTCAGGGTGGGTCCAAGTACCTCTTCAGTCTGCTGTGTGAAGTGTGTTTAGTGAGGCTGCTTTTGGGTCTTAAGCATTTGATTTATCTAAACATTGACCTAGTGCTGGCTTGCTCTGCCCATGTGGTTTATGGCACTGTGGCACTCTTGGTGTCTGTCTGTCCTCAGCAGTGCTGCTAGTGCTGGCCTCCTCCCCCAAATCTGTTGATGTACCAGAGCCCCTGAATACCCATGGTCTTAATGCTTCTTTCATTTCTATGTCATGACATTTACTGAATTTATGAAATCCTGCAAAGGTGCTCTGACACATCAGCAGATTTGTGGGGTGGGAGGAGGGTTTGCAGAGGGCAGGAAGAGATGCAAAGAGAGGGAAAGGAAAAAATAGAATTGATCAAAACCCAGCAAAACAACGGAGAGGAAAAGGAGTGACATGTAGCTTGGGGTTGCAGAGTTCCTTTATTTCAGGTGTTTTACAGCTGCCCTTGAGCAGGTGCCAAGGCCGTGCTAGAAATCTGAGGTCAGGACAGGGCTAAATCACATTAGTGTGTTTTGGTGGTGGGGAATTCAGGTGGCATGCACTGGGCACTACTCCCATGTCTATGCCAGTGTGTGGAAGGTACAGCTGTGCTGGCAGCAAAGTGCCTCCCCAGCAGGCATTTTTAAAATTCTGGTAAACAAAATTAAAGCCTCTTCTGAATCATTGAATCATTCAGGTTGGAAAATACCTATAGAATCGTCAAGTCCAACTGTTACCCCCGTGCTGCCAAGTCCACCAGGCAGTTTGAAGGCGGTTCCTGAACCTTTCTGGCACTTGAGTTTGAAAAACACAGTCCCAGCCCACAGTGCAATTTACTAGAGGAGCTTTCTGAGCAATTAATCCACCTACGTCCTGCCAGGGCTCCCGTGGTGCCTCTGACAGTTCATCACAGGGCACAAAAATTTGTCAGTTTTAATCCTCCTTGCTAATTTTAAGGTGATGTTTTCTTCTTGTAAAACCCAGCGTGGATGTGAGCAACATGGAGCAGGTCAGAGGGAGCTGGGCAATGTCTGGAAAAGCAGGAGCTGGTGCTCACTGGCCTTGCCCTCCATGGGGAAGCCGGAGAGGCACGTCTGCCATCCCAGTCCTGAGCTAATATGCCAGTGTAATGAGCTTCCCATCACTTCAGGCCATACCAGCAGGCTCTGAGCTCCACCAGCCATTTTCTGATGGGGTTAGAGGAGGAAAAGGCAAAGCTCAGCTGAGTGTGGGCCGGGGGAAAAGGAAAAACAGATGGTTCTTGGGACATGCAAGAGCCTTTTTATTTTTTTTTTCTCAAGGGCACAGCCTTTGAGCCTCCCAGACAGGTAATTCTTGTTTATACGCCCACAGAAGGTGACGGTCCTGATTTTGGGCCTATTGGTGTATCTTCCCAGACACGATGTGTTTGTTTTGTAGGTGGATGTCAGGAGCTGCATCACTCTTCTATTTAATTATTTATTTTTAATTCAAAACCAGGACAAGTGTGAGTGTGGGGAAGCTTGTCGTAGGCAGGGATTCTGCTTTGGCTGGGGCTGTAAGAGCTGATGGGCTCCTTCACTCCAGATGTCTGCGTTTGTCCCATCTGTGGTTGGACCGATGGCATGTTCTGTCCTGCAGCCCCTCCATGGCCTCCTGCATGGATGGACTCTAGAGCTGAAGGAAAAGCAGCTACACAGGGTAGCGTCCTCCCTCAACACCTGGATTTACAGCAGAAGTGGAACATCCCTGTGAGGATGAGGAGATGCTGTCCCACTCATGCCTTATGTCACAAGAACCTGTCTGCAGACACCCCTTGTCCCAGAGGCTGAGCTCTGAGACAGCCAGCCTCTGGATGAGGCTTTTTCCTCATGATTCCCAAGATTGGTCAGAACAGAAAGGGAGCAGCACCACACTATTGCCTGAGGATGGGGAGAAATGAACTCGATTCCAAAAAGTGGTGCAGCTTTCTAGGCACAAGGAGAAGTGGTGGCCATCGGACACCACAATTCCCCTTCCTCCTCCCTTTGATATTTGCTCTTTTCAGCTTTTGTACAGGAGAGGCTGGATGTAGAGTAGGGGATCTGCTTTTCTTGGCTCCCCTGGGCCGAGTGCTTACAATTTCTGTTTTTCTTCTTGGCTTTCCAGAAAAGCTTCTATGTGAACATGTCATTTTACCCTCTGATGGTCAAAGATGTAGGGCCATCATAATCCCTTCTACTCCACAACTGGCTGGAGGGGAGCGTGACATGTAGTGCTGGGCTAATTTGTTCATTCCCAGCCTGGGAGGTGGGATCTCCAGGCACAGGTTGTTGCTGTTTAAACTCCTGATTCCTTTCTTTGCCTGCCATGCACCTTGCTGGGGCAACTCCCCAGCTTCCCTAGTGCTGGAGCATGTTGGTCTTCACTACATCTGATCTCATAATTCCTGTTGCAGCCGTTGGGGCTGAGATGCTCTGCCCACATCAGCTGCACGCATGCGGTATCTTATTTACTGAATGTTTTTTTTCATCCTGAAATTTATTTTTTTCTTTTCGATGGAGTTGGAGCTTTCTTGTTTCAATTGAGAACTGTTCAAAAATAGCCTCCCAGGAGGAATTGGTTCTTATAACATAAATGTATGTCAGTTTTTCCAGGGTATTCTGTGACAGGGCTTTCCATGCCATTGCTGAAGGTCTTAGTTAATTAGATGATTAGTCTGCTGGTCAAGTATCTATCTGCAAATAAAAAATAGCGGTTGAATGTAGCTGCTAAAATACTGTTGCTGGAATCAGTCTGTGGCACAGAGCAGGAGAGCTTCTTATTTAATTAAAATCAGGAACATACTGTACTGTACTCTCCAAGGGTCAAGGAACAAAAGGGACGTACACATAATAAGTAGCAAACTGTCCTTTCAAACCCCTTGAGCTCAGCCCAGGGGAGCTGTGTTTAAAGGCACACTCTCAGGATAACATTTGTGATTTCTCTTCTGTCTTTTTTCCCCCCCTTTTTTCTTTCTCTGTGCTGCTGTGTGAATTATTGAAGCTGAAAACATCCTGTGACTTTTAGTTTTGTTTCTACCTGTTCTTCCTCTCAGATTTGCATTTGTCATCAGGACTGCTTGGATGCCAGAAACCTTTGTGTGGGTGCTCAGTAGCTGGGCTGGTATTACTGAGGTCCCTTCTCAGGAGCCAGCCTGCCCACAGCCATGTTGGACGGGGGGCTGAGCTACCATCCCCACACAATACGGCTCTGGGAATTACTGGGAACCTTTTGGGAAGGGAAGAGCACTGAGCTTTGTGGCCCAGCACCCAGTGCTTCAAAGGAGGAATTTCAGCATGGGTTTTTTTGAGTTGTCAGGGTTCTGTGCGTGCTTGGAAGTTCCCACCAGCCTAATGAGCACTTCTGTGTTTGTTTCTGCAGGACGTTGCACTGTTGGAGTACCAGCATCATTCCAGGGATTTCGCTTCCCACCTCCCTCCGGGGTCTATCATGCAGCCGCAGCGGCGGAGGCCGTCCCTGCTCTCCGAGTTCCAGCCGGGCAATGAAAGGTACTGGCTCCCCTCCTTCCCTGGGGAACCCCAGCTGCATCAGCCAGGACTTTGTGCAGGGCTGTGGTGGGAGCAGGAGGGCTGTGAGGGACCTGGGCAGTGGGATGCTGTGTGTGGGTACTGACTGTGCTCAGGTTCTGCGCCCGTTCAGCTTCCTTGTGCTAACGCAAGTGGCACCTTTGCCTTCTGGTTTCTTCCCTGGGACTGTCATGCCTTTTAAAGAAGTCTTAAAAACACAAACAACAAAAAAACCCGCCCTCCTCCCTACTGTGAAGTTTCACATTGCTGTGACTGGTCGAGTTGGCTTCTTCAGCATAGAAAATGAAGCCATGTGGTCAGGTGTGGTCTGTGGCTCCCAAGGCTGCAGGGAGGAGTGAGAAAAGCTCATTTCCACCCCCAGCTCTGCTTCCTCTGCTGCTGCTCTTCCTCCCTGCTTTCATTGTTTTTGTTTCTCTGTCTGCATTTCCCTCGCAACTTTCTCCAAGCTGTTTTTTTCCTGTCTGCTCCCCTCGCGCCTCTGCCTGTGTCCCTGTTTGTTTTGTTTCCTGTTGTAGCCTCTTGTGGAAGGCTGGCAGTGTTTTTGGGTGCCAATCAGGCAAGCACTCTGTGGCTGGGAATGCCGTACATGCCTTAAGCACAGGAGCTGATCTCTTCTGAAGGATATCACTCTCATTCTCTGTTTCTACTCAAAATGCTGATCTCTCTTATGGTTTCTCTTTTGCATTTGATGCTTGGTTTTGGAAAAAAATGGCCTGGAAGTGAAATAAGAGCACTGGTACAGTAGATTTATACAAAACATTTTTTTAATGCTTATTCCTTAGTCAGGCTAAGAACAAAACCAGTGCAGAGTCAGAGATTAATCTGTTTCTCTAAAATCATTGTTAGGAGAGAGGAGTAAGACCTCAGGGTGCTGCATGCATAATAGATACAGACAGGATCCTCTTTTTCTAGTGGGATGGGTTTGGCTTGGTGCTCAAAAACAAACCTGTGAGAACTTGGAGGCAAAAAGCAGCCTCCAAAGTAGGTTTTGTGTCTGTCCTCCTGGATGTGCCCTTCTGGACTGTGCCTGTGGCACCTGTGTGTACAGAGGGTCACGTCACTTCTGATAACCAGTAATTTATTGTAACATGTTGCACTGCCTTGGCTCACTTTGATTTCTCAGTGCTTTGATTTCTTAGCACAGAGTAACACGGTTAAGTTGGAATTGGGTCAGATTTAGCTAAATTTGGGGGAGATGGGTAAAGAGGAGCCAGCAACATGTTCCTTCTGCCTGTTTTTGTTTTTCACACTACTGATGGTTTGCAAAATGGAGAAGCAGTTCTGCTCTCCAGTAAAATGAAGGTTTCAAGGTCTGAATATGCTATTTAAAAAAATGTATCTTGGTTATTCCATATAACTAAAAAAACCCAACAGCAAGCCTTGGTGTCTGCTGTACCACATGCCTGATCTGGTGTGGTCACCCAGGCATCTCCCTTTGGCCTACAAATATTTCCAAGTTTCCGAGCTTCTTTTTGTGTTGACAATCACATGAATGTGGTAAAAGTTGAGTGAGGTTGTCAGAACTAGATACACATCCACATGCTTATCATGGTACCTCACTTTCAACCTGAATGGTGATGCTCTGTCGTGCTATAAAAAGAAATTTTTTTAACAGACTCAATTTACATTTCATCCCTTTTCCCCATAACATCCAAAATACTGCACTTTTGCAACAATTAGATAATAAAGCTAAAAATACCACTTCAGTTCAGTTGGCATGTTGTGCCAGGATTCTGGGACATAGACTCATTAAAAAAAATTTTGGGGGCATCTGGGCATGTAGCGGGGCAGTCTTTGAAAAATTTAAAGAAATTTTCAATCCAATGTTATTTGTTATTGAAGTAATTTGGATTGGGCACCGTTGGGCTTGGGGAGGTGTTAGTCTGTTTTGCAAGGGCAACTGCTGTTCCTCCGCATCTTTAAGCACCACACTCAAAGATCCATCCTTAGGGGGCTTTGCTGTTCACCTTTGTGGTGTGAGGATCTGCTGTAACACGGTGCCTCCTGTGCTGTAAGTGGAGCCCTTTGGGTGATGGTCACTCACCTGAGGGTTCCGGGGCCAAGACCCTGGAGCTCCTGGAGCAGATTGGGTTGGTCACTGGTGCCCTCCCAAAAAATAGCAGTGGCTCTGCCTGGCACAGAGCACAGCCTGGATGAGGGAGGGTGGCAGTGGCAGCCATCTCTGCAGCTGAGTCCCCTTGGCAGGCTCAGCACTTTGGCTTTGTTCCTGGGCTGGGATTGATGGTTTCCAGCAGAGGCAGCTGGCTCTCGGTGTGAGGGGCTGGGAGGAGGGAGACCAAGGCAAACAACGTCCACAGCACGGCATAGGTGGGCTAAGTAGAGGGAAGCACAGGGGTGTGCTGTGTCTGAAAGGAAGACCCTCACTGTGGTTCCCTGCCTGGCAGCCCACCTGGCACACAGTGGTGGTGGGCACCAGACAATCCTCCCCTTGTAGCAAGTGTTGGCGGAGGGGAACCCTTCCAATCCCCCGTGGCTTTGGGAGTTCAGAGGAAGCAGCCTGTCTGCTGTTGGTTGTGGTAGCTGATGCTCTTCCAGGATCACTCCCCTCCTTAAGGAAATCAACTTGGGAGTCTGGTGCAAGTGGGATATGGCAAACTGACAGCACTGGAGATCAAGCTCTGTGCGTGTTCCTGGGTGGACATCCCTGCCCTGCCATCACTGTGCCTCATGCTGATCCAGAGCAGTGCCTGCAGCTGGAGAGCAGTTCAGAACCTTGTGCTGTTCAGTCCCTGTTCCTCTGAGCCCACCTGCCTGGTGAGTGGCTGGTGTTTGCCCTCCTCTCCTGGAAACCGCAGGGATCCACTTTACTCTGTTTTGGGGGACTGTCCCCCAGTTTGGCTTTGCCTTCACTTTGGGCAGATCTCTGAAGCTTCCTCATCTGTCTTTGCATGTGGTATTTGAGGCTTGACCCCATGGATGCTTTAAATCCCACAGAAATAATTTAGGCTTGCTTAGATGGTCTTCCTTCCTGCAGCTTTGCAGGTTTTCGGTCTCTCCTGGCTGCAGTTTTGCTGCAGCCACCAGGATGCTGATTAGTTGTGATCCAGTGGAAAGGGAAGAAGCAGTGAAGCATTTCAGCATGGGCACAGTGTGTTAAGCGTGAGTCAGGTGTTGGGGCAAAAAGCTGTTGAGTGATAACTTGCAGGAAGGAATCAGATGCTGAGATGCTCCTGCATTTTGAGGCTTCCTGAGCAAGAGGCTCATTGGGAAGTTACAGACTGCTCTTTCTCCATATACGTCAGAATTGAGAGTCGTCATCACTCTTTGGTGGTTGGGCAAAGATTTGAACTCCCTGTGCAGCAATTCTGGCTTGGAAGAAGAAAGGAAAACCTGAACCAGTCTGAATCTGTTGCTATAGGGAAAGTTGGCTCTGTCTGTCTTTGCAGGGATGTGCTGCTTTCCATGATGGTTTTTTTGGTAGCAGGCTTTTTCTTGGAAGGATCCACAGACTTCCTCTTAGCTTGTTCAGTTGGCTGTGCCAACTGGACTGGAGGAGCGAGGAGAAGTATTTCAGGATCTGCTGTTGGTACAAGTCGTACCATGAATGCTTGCAGCGGAATGCCCTGGCAAGCTGACAAGGATTAGGGCTTTTTTTCCTCTTCTATATATATTTTGGTCCTCAAAAGGAGTGAGGAAAAACTGGGTTGAGTGTTAAATGGCAGGTGCCAGTTGGGTGAGGGGTCTGAAAAATTAAGGAACTGGGTTTTCTGATTTTTTCATGTGTTGGGATTTTAGAGCAAGGTTCCATATTAACACAGGAATGCTGGGGTGCATAATGGCTTCTCTGGCAGAAAACGTGGCTGTAAATAATTGCTATGTATGTTAACACAGTATATTCCACCCTTATCCAGAATGAGATGAGTCACTGTTTTATAGATTATTTTCCCAGTTCAGGAGATCATGCTCTTCTTTCAGAGCCATTCTGCTTAGCAGGCATGAGGAGTTTGAAGAGTTTACCCGGTGTTGATCTGTGGGATGACATTTTGGATACATTAAGCAGCTGCTGTGTTTCTGCAGCCATCTGAGATAGCCATGTGCAGTATGGCATGAGACCAGGCCAGATCACTGTGCCTCTCGAATGGGATTAATCCTGAGGAGCCCAGGGAGCGGTGGGGAGCCAGGGCAGTGTGTGTGGCACTGGAAATCACGTGCAGCTCTTGGTCTTCATCTGTGCTGGGCCAAATGGCACCAACTGCTCCCCAGATAACAACACAACCAATTTGATTTTATTTATTGTCTTTTAGTTTCCATTTTTACAGGTGACCCTTTACTCGGGAGCGAGCTGGAATCCCCACAACCATTCATCTGCGTGTCTTTTAACACTGGAAATGGTGTTCCAGGAGCTGTGTATTTTTCCTCCCCATAATTGAACATGGGACAATAACATCTGGAGAGGACAGATGCTGGTGTGTAGGCACTTGGTGACAAGCCTTGTCTTGCAAGTACCCTCTGCTCCTGTGTGGGCTGTGGGCATGTCCATGGATGGGCACAGAGCATGACCAAGGCTCCACAGAGTTGATGCAGAGACACCAGGCTTCTTGGAATGGGCCAGTGTGCCCTGGCAGGGAGGTATGACAGGAAACCTTGGCTTTGCCTTGGCTGGTATAAGGGGTAAAAGTCCACACAGCAACTTTCTTGTGTGTAGTCTTGAACCAGATTTATTTTGGGGAAGGAAAGGTGATCCTGCAGTGTATGCAGCAGGCCTTGTGAAATTTTGGGATATCCCTGAAGCCATTAGTTCAGGAGTGCTCCAGCCACCCAGGACTACCAAAAGGGCTTTTCTGATGGGCCTCAGTTTTGGATGCCTGGAGAAAGCATGTGGGGGAGCTTTTGGAGAGAGACAAATATTCCTTCTCCTCCTCTTGAGTGAGGTAGTGCTGTTGTGTTAAAGCTTCTGGTGGTCCCATCCATGAATAATTCAGGCTCTGTGTATGGGGATCTTCAATATGCAAGTTTTAAATCAAGCATCTGCTCTCATTTAAATTGCAGTTGGCTTGGAAGAAGGTGGCTGAGGGGTTGTGCAGGGCAGCTGAGACCTGCCCTTGTGTGGGAATGCGCAGCCGGAGCATCCCGAGGATGCAGATGGGCACCTGGCCAGACCTCACCAGGACCTGGGAGTCCTTGAGCTGAGCCACATGGTGAGCTAGCATCCTGCTAGAGGTGGTCCCACACCTCTGACGTGGAAAGACTCAGTCCTGCTGCTGGCAGATGTTGCTGAGGGCATGGGAGCTCCATCTTCCCCACCCAGACATGCAGCTCTTCCCATCAAGTCGTGATGGTTTTTCTTCCTTTCCACCTATCTCACAAGGGGAATAGATCAGCTGGCTGTGGACATGTTTTTCTAGGTGCTCGGTGGCAGGTTTGCTCCTACAAACCCTCCAGTTTCTCTCTTTAACGGGTCCTAATTTGCCTACTGTCCCACTCTGGCTCTCATTATCTGTGAAGGGGTTGTTGAAACCTCTCACAAATCCTGGCGTTGGTGTAGTGGACTGATGACGAGATGGAGTCAGATTACAAGATGGAGTCTGCTTCACCATTGTCTCCAGCACAGAGTTAAAAAGCCTTGATGCCACAGCTGGGCTGCTGCAGGAGCTGAGCTACTTGAGAAAGCTCCAGGAGGCACCTAGCAAGGCAGCAGAGGCAGGCAGAGGAGCAAAAAGGATAAAAAGTTGTTACAGTCAAAAAATGCGTGAAGGACTTTCCCAAATGAGGTGTGCCAGGCAGATCTTGCTTGGAGACTGGGGAACCAGCCAGTGGATGCTCAGGGCCCATCTTGTTACCAGATGATCTTTGCTGGGTACTGGTGTACTGGCCAGTGGGCCTCCAGGGTATTTAGGGCCGTGCCCAGGGACTGCTGGGGGGCTGTTTGAGCACTGCTGTGGGAGCTGCTGCCGCTCTGTTACCCTGCTGGTTATCCTGCCTCTGAGGATACAAGGTGACCAGGGAAGAAGCCCAGCAGAGACCTACCAGCTTGCAAGCCAGCAGCACTTCATGGTGGTCGTAACTCCTGTCCTGTGCTTTTAACAGTTACCCTTAGCTTTTCCCACCTTTCCATCTTCCTTCTTTTTCTCTGCTCTTTTGGGTTACAGAATAAAGTTGAATTATCAGTTGGGGATCCAGCATCTGGCCTTGTTTGTGCCTTAATCTCGCTTATGGGAATGGTTTTAGAACCTGGTCCCCCTCTGCACCTAAGAGGATTGGAACAGTTGGCTATAAATAATTCACTTCAACACCAGTGGTTTTCTGTATTACTCTCTCTCAAAAGCATTTTATTGTCTGTCTGTACCTGTGGGGGTTGGATACTCTTTTTAGAACTTATTTTTGGAGACAATTTCCCACCAAACCATCTCAGCCGGGGGAAATAAACAGCCTCAGCAAGGCCATCACTTGTCTTGGTTCCAGTTCCAAAAGACAGTGAGAGTGAGTTTTCCAGCCTGGTTATGTTGTTTGGCTCTGTGGTATCTAGGGAACGGTATTTGCAGATGGGAGCAATTCTTAGTGTGCCCTTGCTGGGAAGTTGGTGAGGGCTGGCTCAAAGTCACTGCTGTTGTTTTGAGCCCTCAGTGCAGGAGGCATGGCTGTGGGAAGTCAGGCTGGATTTTGTGGATGTTGCAGAACAGCCATCATTCCTCTTGCAGCCACCTTCTGCTGTTCAGCTGATGGAGAAACAGGAAAGTTTGAAGAGCAGGGGAGGGTTGTGCTGCTCTGAAGAGCTGGTCAGTGGGTTAGTGGGGTGGGAGAGTCTTCTTTTGCCTCCTGAAAAGTTTGTACTTGCCTGTTTCCCAGTGATTTGGCTTCAGGAAAGTAAAGATAAAGGCAAAATCCATTTAGATGTCATCAGGCCTGCTCTGGCTGTGGTGTAGGTATAACATAGCAGGAGATGTTTTCCTAGGTCCCAATGACCCACACGTGCTGGAGCAAGCTGCAGGTGCCCCACATTGCTGCAGGATTTGATCTGCTCGTACCTTCCTTACATCCTGTGTGAGTCTGCTGAGGAATCGGCCGGTGAACGAGTAACACGGCTGCAGCTGGGAGGGAGCGATGCATTTATCAGATTGGTAATGAACCAGAGGTCTAATCTTGGGTTGTCTTGTTCTTCTGGACTCGGACCTGCCCCGAGCAGAGCTCTGTGTGGGTGGCTGGAAGTCGGGCAAACCCTGGGCACCCAGCTTTGTGTGTCAGCAGATCTCACACCGCTCCACTTCCCCGAAGTAGTTTGGCGTTTGTGGCAAAGGGCTCAGGTGAAGACTAACCTGCCCCACTTCATAATTAACACTGGCATTTGCTTTACTTCATTTAATTATGCATCACTCACATGCAATTAAAAATGCTTTTTTCCCTTCAGCAAATTAGGAATCTCTGGATAGCCAGGTGGGAACTATTTGGAAAATGCAGCAAACGACGAACTCAGTGTAGTGGGAGGGTTTTTCAGGCAGGGTTATTTTTGCGCTGACGGCAACGTCATCGCTGTATGAAAGTCTGTTGTAAAGAGCTTAGTGCAGGTGTGGATGTGAAGAGTGAAAGGTGTGAAGGCTTCGAGCAAGAGCATTTGTGTTTGCAGCTAGGACAGGCTGAGTAGGTCGTGTTGGGCAAAGCAATCTCAGGAGCGGCTGGAAATTCCAGTGGATAAAGTTAATAGCAGTTCCAATGGATGTGGAAATGGAAATAAAATAGCACCCTATAACATTGCAGCTGCTTTCCCTGGTGTGGCCCCTGCCTCACTGTGAGTAACTGCCTTTGTAAAGCTGAGTGGTGCTCTTATCTTTAAAATCCATGTTTTTTTCTGAGTGTAGCAGTTGTGTCAGGTTCCTGACAACTGCAGAGGTCTCGGACACGACCTGTGTCAATTAGCAGCTTCTTGGACCTTAAAAAAAAGAGGGAAGAAGTGAAAATAAATCTCATTTTTAATTGCCTCAGTACAGCAGAGCCTTGGGTGTTGGAATATTTTAGCACCTGCCCAGCTCAACAGTTGCTTATTGTTCCCGGTTTTTGCGGCAGAGCCTGAAATGCTGGCGCGCAGCTGCAGGCGGGCAGGGATCGCACGAGGGGTTGGGACCAGCCAGCAGGAAACCTGAGAGATGCCAGGAGAGATTTCTGGGCTTGCTGAGAAAAGTTGAGGATCATTCAGCGTGAAAGTGCTTGCAGGTGAAAGGAGCTGTGCTTCAGTGCCAGATTTCAGGCTGCTCGGCTCTGAAAAGTTTGTTGTGTGAGCTGTGCATTCACAGTCTCGTAGGCTGGATCACCAAAGGCAGTGCTGGAGCCTCCCAGTTCTTCCAGCTCCTTTTTGCTGGGGAGGAGGAAGGGGATGAGCCAGATTCTGTTTCTGTGTGTCAGCAGCAAAGCTGCTGCCCAATGCCAATGTCAAACCCTCCACAGCAGAGCTTGGCGTGCACATGCTTTGTGCCTGCTGTTGATGTTTAAATTAAAAAATGAAACCCCTCAACTTTAACTTGATAACCTGGAGCTGGATTGAGTTGGCCATGCTGCTGTAGGGGAGGGCAGAGGTCTGTGCTCAGGATGTCCCTGAGAAGGTGGATTTCTCCAGGGTTCCTTCTCTCCCTGGATGTGATCCAGAGTGGTTGTGGCCACTGGCTTCAGAGGGCTCTGGGTCCTTCCCTTTTTGCCATCCTCTCTATTTAATGTCAGCAGTTGCAGTTTGTGGGTGGGAGCCAAATGATGCATGAGAACCCCTGTTTTTATTCTTGATCTTGACAAAAACACATCCCCTTTCCCCGTCCCCTTCGAGCAGCTCCAGAGGCTGTTTAGTTTGTTGGTGTTTGGTAACTGAGGAGTACACTTCACCACCAGCTCAGGAGAACTTCAACAATCTCGTTTAAGGGGAAAAGAAAAAAATCCATGTTTTTTCACAAGCTTTAAATCCCCTGTGCTTTGTTTTATTTTTATTTTTTTAAGACACATTTCTGCCTGAAGTGTTAAAAACACACCCTTGGAGCTGCTGCAGCAAAGCTGATCCTGGGGCATAGTAAAAGGTTTAATGTATTTTTGTAGGATCCCTTTACAATTCCCACAAGAGAATCCTGCTAAGGAAAACAGAGCTACAAAGAAAGTTTTACATTTGTTTAAAAAAAGCAAAACCAAGCCCACTCTCCAGGTATTACCAACTGCATCATATTTAATGGGTGAAAGATACTTGAGCCCGATGTGACTTGTCAGTGCAGTTGCTATCACTGGATAATGTGCCTTTGCAGCCTGCCAGGTCTGTGTCAGAGACGTGCAACTACATGTGGCTGCTTTCTTTCCTCCCCCATCCTGGAAAAATAAATCCCCACTGTCTAGCCATGGAGGAGTAGGCATTTTTTTCCCCAACATATAATCTTTGGTATTCCTATGGAAGATGCTAAAAATAAACAATGGTGCAGGTACCAGAAGGGAGCTCCGCCTCATCTTGGAGGCACAGGGGGACTTATGGACCACATTTGGGGATTTTCCAGGCTTTGGCTCTTTCTGGATAGCCTGACACATGTGGCATGACGGGGAAGGCTCAAACCTGCAGCCTAGTTCACTTTGCCCTGGTGTAGGGACAGCCCCACCATGTGTGGTGGGACAGGAGAGGGCCGTGAGGCCTTCCAGGTGACATGGTGGCAGTGCTGAGGAGGGGGACACCAGGGTGGCCTGTTGGGCTTGGGGGGATGGCAGTGATCCTTCCTGCTCCAGGGGATGCCCAGCAGCTGAGCTAAGGGGCTGTGCCTGAGATGTCTCAGCCCAGGGCCATCTGTCCTCCCCTCAGGGATCCTTTTGGAAAATGGGCAGATGTTGAGCCCTGTCTTCTTAGAGTGGTTTGTGATTGCGGAACAGGGGAAAGCAGGGGTGGTTTGCTTTCTAAAGCCTCCTTTCCCTTTGTCCACAGATCTCAGGAGCTGCACCTGAGAACTGAGGCGCATTCCTATCTCTCTGACCTGACCAAGCCATCGGACTTGGAGTTCATTGAAACCAAGAGGCCACGCCTGGACCTGCTGCAGGACCCCCTGATGCGGCACTCGCCTCTCCTGAACCAGAGCCAGCAGGGAGGGACAGAAGATCTCTCAAAGGTAAGAGACTAATGGCCTGGCTGCCAGCTGGGTGTGGGGTCTGGGTTTTGGGATCCCCTTGGCTTGTGTAGAGCTGCCTTTGAGCTGCTGCTGAATGCAGTGTAGATGGTGGTTCCCGATGCACTGAGCAGTGCTTGGTGGTGTTGGATAATATTCCCTGAGATGGGGTGACCACTTAAGGAAAACAGAAGCATATCAGCTTTCCTCATAACTGTTACAGTCATAGGCTTTTTTTTACTAGGCTATTAGATGCACCAGAACAATTTGGAAGCTCCTGTAGGCTGAATTAAGGATGGCCATGTCTGGCTTTTCTGGATACTCTGCCTTGATTTGATTTTTACTTGACATTTCTCATTTATCACATCTCTTTATTTAATATCAGTGTTTGAAGGGCTGGAATAGGTTTCTGGTGGTTCTTTAATATAATCTTCCCCAGGAAAGCCTCCCTAGTCCCAGTCTCATTTAACAAAGCAAATCATTTACTTACGATCGTCCCCTCTGCACATGGAATAAATGTTGCAAAGAGAAATCCCTTGCTTGTGTGCCTGTTTGGATTTACTTTCATGCTCTGTTGGGGTAAATTGTATTTGATTTTACCTTGAGTTTGGACACGCTCCTGGTTGGCAGGAAAGTCGTGCTGGATAAATGTGCTGGGGACAGCTCTCTTGATGCCAGTGCTGAGGGTTAGTGCAGCTGCAGGCTGGGCTTGGGAATTGCCTGAGCCTGCAATGAAATGAAAGGGAAGTTGCATCCATACCCAGGGTGATGGGGATGGTTTTCTGTATCCCTGTGGGAGCTGACTGAAATAATATACAGGCAAGAAAGTTCTTCCTTGGAAATGCCAGGATATGTAGACATCTCTTATCCATAAGGTACTGGTGGGCTTTACTGAGATCCCTCTGAGCTATCTTTAATGAGAAGGATATTTAACTTTGGAGTACTTCAGATGCCAAGGGAGGCCTGAAGGCTCTGAAGAGTAGAGTGCCCTCGGGGCACGTTGGTTGAGTGGCTGATGGGAAAAATACACAGTTGTCCCCAAAACAAAAAATATCTCTCTCCAAAGATGTGAGGAAACCAGGATGACTTTTGTGTCTGCACATTATTCTCACCAGCAGTTCTGTTTTACCTCTCACCAGAAAACCACAGATCATCTCAGCTATTTGTTTCTAATAGGCAAGGCTGCTCTTGAGGCATTAGTTGGTGAGTTTAGGGGCTGCATTTTCTTCTTGGTTTATGGCACATTTCCAAGAATTACATGCATTTTATGGGGCTTAAAACATTTGTTAATGAAAGAGGAAAAGAGAGAGAGCTGAGATACAATTCAACAAGACAAAATTATACTTTTAGTGGAGTCATTTGTAATTTTAGAGTCTGAAAGGAAGAAGAAAATGTGGTGTCTTTGACTGGTGAGAGCCTGACTGGAACTGGGATTAGTTGCTCTAAACTAGCAGGAGCTGTTTCCAGAATGGGTTTGATGGAGCTCACTGCAAGACTGGATGATCTCAGTGCTGTTCCAGTGGTTGGGAGCAGAAGGCAAGTCTGGGGCACGCAGTATATCTGCCTTTGCAGCTTGGGAAATTGGGTTAATAGCAATCTTTTGGCATTAGTTGTTCTCAGACTAGCGTATAAACTGCTGGTGGACATTAAGGTCATGGACAAGCTCCTGTAGCTGATGTGTGCATTGCTGTGAGGCTCAGCATGTTGGAGGAGCTGTTCTGGGTGTGCTGGTCCAGGGGAAATGCAAAGAGCTGAGGCTGGTCTTTGGTCACAGCTCTGGACACTTGCAGATCTGGGCTGCTGACACAGGTAAAACCACTTCTCGCACCTATGCTAAGCCAGCAACTGCGCAATTCAGCACTAGGCTCTGATGGTGTAACCCACCACCTGGGACAGATGATAAAGACCTTCCCCAGAGGCTCTGTGCTGAGTGAGACATGTCCTGGAGTGGTGACACACGTGTGTTGGCAGGATGTGTGTCCCAGAGCAGTGGCAAAAACATGATGGCAGGACGTGTGTCCCAGTGACCAGAGCTGGAGAGAGGTGTTTGCTGTTCTCTCTGTCCTGCTGACTCAGTGCCTGATGAAGTCACTCAATACTTTATCTAGGGCAGCTTTGCCAAGCGGGTGAGCTCCTTGGGTGAAACACACCATGTGAGCCCAGTATTGCTAAACACGCTGCTGGTTGTTTAGATGGAGTATCCTAGGAGTTGTTCCCTTACTCCTTACCCCATTCCAAGCTGATGCAGTCACTGCGTGGGGAGGAGCTCAGTTTACTCATTGGAGTAACAGTGCTAGGACGATTTTTCATGGTGATTTTACAGATTGAGCTAATTTTTACACAGTAAGAGCTCCACAAAGCCCTCAACAAAAAGGGTAGGGGTTTGGTTACACACTCTGGGCGCCAGTCTGACTGTCCCAGGGGATGTAACTGTAATGGATGTTGCTCCCGGGCAGTGGATACGTCTTGGTCTCTGCCGGTTTCAGAGCTGTGGTGGGGCTGAGATGCAGAATGGAGTCTGTGGTGGGGTATGAGTTTAGCATATCCCTGATAACCACTGATAACTGGATTTACCAACCTTCAGCCCAGGGTAGAGAAGTCAACGTCATTCCTGCACATTTCCAAGGCCTTTGACACATAGTCTGTGCTCCAAACACAGATAGAGTAATTGATGTGGTAAATGCTTGTAGCAGATTCCAGAGCTTTTTCACTGAAGAGAAATGGATCTCTCATGTCTTTTATTCCTCATCTACCTCTCCCAAACACGGGGTGAGCTGCACCCCTTAACCCTGCTCAGGATCACTGCAGCCTCACTCCAAGTAAGGCTTAGTCTGTAAGGAGAAGATAATGTCTTCTCTTGGATCAGCACACTCTAGCTGAAGAAAGCAGATGTGCTTTTGGGCAGCATGCCTTTCAAAAGCAGCAGCTTTCAGCTAAATCTCACTTGGTCCAGTAAAAGATTTACCTTTCCTTACAAACCTCATATTGCTCATATCCTCAAACACTGGTGTTTCTTTTCAAGTTAGGAAACAGAAGGTTGTTTTCTTGCCTACTTTCCCCCACTTGAGCATCTATTTCCCAGCAAGAGGGATTGCTGTCATGTTGCTGCAGTATTGTGGTCCTGGGATCCTGCTGCTGGATGTGGCCAGGAGGGCTCTGGTGAGCTCAGTCTGCTGGGGAGAAATGAAATCTCCCCATGCACTCTGTGCCAGCCAGGGCTGACACTGCCCCTGGGAAGGTGCTCCCTTGAGCTGGCTGACAATAACCAGACACAGTTAAAGCAGGGCTGTTTTTTCCATCACTGCAAGCCTGGATGTGGGATTCATTGGAAAAGCTGCCGTTGATGTGGCTTTGCCAGGTGTGCTCTTGGCAGAGATGCGGGAGCTTGTTCCCAGGACCCTTGGTGGCTTCTGCTTTCTTTCTTTCCGATAAAGTCACGGACCTCCATCACGTAGCAGCAGCCAGGAGTAAAGCAGGCAGCCCCAGAGCAGGCCAGCGATGCTGTGCACGATCCCTGTCCCTGCGCAGACGTGCGCAGCTGGTGCTGCCTGCGATCCTGCCCTGTGGGGACGGCGAGCGTGGCACGTCTGGTCGATCAGCGCCTGCTCTCCCCTCTCCAGAGCTGGAGCTTCATCCTGCCTCTCCCCTTTCCATCTCTTCTTATTCCTGTTGTGCTTCCACTTGTTCTTCTCCCCATTTTTAGGACTGCTCTTCTACCACATATGTGGTTTGCTGCTCCTTCCTATAGGATGTGAGTCAGTCGTGATCTGCATTTAGTCCCCTTTGCAAGGGCTGGCTGGCTGCACTTATGCGTAGCTTATTGCTCCGACAGGAATTCACTTACAGGAGCCATGTAATCCCACGGGTACAGGGCTGGGTGGAGGCTTAGGAAACCTGAACCTTGCTGCCATCTGCCCTGGCAGGCTGCTGGTCACCGGGTAAGTCTCTTCCCCTTTCTGTATCTCAGATTTCCCCATCTGTACAAGGGACAATGCCACTTCCCTCTTTTGTAAAATGATTAACAACTATGGATGGAAAAAGGCTATTAAGAAGGCATGTGTTGTTAGGACTTGGATTCTGCTTTACATTGTGGAAAGGTTTTAATTTCTTCCCTTTCTGCATGAGTGTTTTTGTTGTGTTCTGGACTGAAAAATGGAATAAGAAAAGGGAGAGGGGGGAGTTTTGGAAAAGACAGCACCAAGGCCAGGAAATATGTATGGCAAAGCAGAAATTAGGGCAAAGGGTATTTTGTTTTGATGCATATTAATGTAGATTTAAAAGCAATTAATTGAAAAAGGAGGAATTAACACGTTTGAAATGCCTTTTTAATGATGCATTGAAGCCAGCAGCGTACATGCCAAATTTCACACTGGCTGCCCGTTCCAGAGCCCAATTTACAGTGAACTCCTGGAAGACAGGCTGTGGGATGGAAAGGCTCTTGGCTAGCCTGCTAACTCCTGCCCCGGCCTCAGGCTGGCAGGGCACCGAGGACAGCCGAAAGGCCTTTTGGGAGCCCTGCTTCCTCCTCGCAGCGCCAGCTGGGCCTTGGCAGTGCTGGGCCCTGGTCACTGCTCCATCCCTTGCCGAATGTTCTAGGAGAGAGGAGTGGGAGATGGGGGTCTCTGGCAGCAGGGTTTGCCCTGGTACAGGGCAGAGGGGCAGTGCCACAGCTCCCGGCACAGATAGCTGGGCTGGCTGGTAAATCACCAGTCGCGTTTCTTCTCCGTGGCTTTGTTATGGGAACATTGATCTGTTGCTGGGATTAACCTCTCAGAGTTTCCAGTGGGTTGGTCTCGCAGTTATTAATGAAACTGGCTGGAACTTGTGTTGACCTTGGCAAAGGCCCCAGTTGGCTTGGAGGTAACTGGCAAAAGCATAATCTCTAATTGAGTAATCCAGGGCTGGGGGAGGGGAGCAGAGGGGGTGGACAGGCAGCAGTGCTTTGAACTGGGAGAGCTCAGAGCTCCGACGGGATGCGTGGGAGTGGAGGGCTCAGAACGGCACTGAGCACAGCGGCCGCCGAGGGAATTAGCAAGCAAAAGCGAGGCGGCATCTCAGATCCGGCACCCCAGGCTCCCTCTTGTAGAAAACAGCCCAGAATTCCAGCACCTCCCCGTGATTTATTGCTGTGGAACAATAGCACAGAGGGGCTGGAGAGTGGAACGAGCTGTGAGCGTCGGCCGTCCCTGGACGCGTGTCCTCCTGTAGCCTCTTGTGTTTGCAGTGTGGGTCACGCTGGGCTCTCCCTTCCCCACTGGGGGTTGTTTTTCACTTGGGAAAAAGAGTTCTGGGCTTGTTTCTTGGGCTTTTGGTGATGGTCTGCAAGCAGGGACCCAGCAATAGCTGGGCTGTCTTCCCTGGCCGTGCACCTCTGCCATGGGAGAGGGAGGTGCTTACTTGGCCAACTGTGGCCGTGCCCAAATCTTTTGGGGAAGGGGTGCCTATCAGCAAGCACTGCAGGACACCCAGGCAGAGGGATCCTGAGGAGCTGCAGTAGCACTGATGGACAGGGGACACACCCATGCTGCCAGCATCCTGTTGCTCCCTCCCAGTGAGACCTCTGCCAGTGTGCGGCTTGACCAACCCTGTGGAAGACGAAATGCCTCAAACATGTTGCCATGAAAAGAATAATTCTTGCCCCCAGGACTGCAGGTTGTTCGATGCAAAGCCTGCACACGCTGCGTGGTTCCCAACTGCTTCTTGGAGGAGCAGACTTCAGTGGAAATGGCTCTAACCTCAGGTCTGAGCAATGAAATGAAACCATTTTAGTGGGTACAAACACACCTACCTCTTTCCTGCTTTTGTCCTCGTTCCCCTGCAGAGAATGGCAGTTCTTGTTAACTCTCTGTGCAGCCATGACTGGGAGGCAGCTGGGCTCTCCCTGAGAAACTGAGCCAGTGGAGCTGAGTGTCCATCAGGAGCGAGTGGAGTAGGGTTGTCAAGTCCAGGAGCTGTAGGAGGATCCTCCTCCAGTGTGTTCGACGTCCACCCATCTGCCGTGGGCTTGCTCTTGCTGTCGACTTGTGCCTGATAAAAATCTGTTTGCAAGAAATGGTTCGGTGGGGTAGGGAATTTACGTTAGGGCAGCAATGATTCAAAGCTATTTCTGGGAAGATGAGGGAGATGTTGGCATTCTCTGTCATTCCAAACATATTTAAAAGCTGAAATATTTGCATTGTTCACGTTGTCACAGCGCAAACACTTCTGGCTGGATTTCTCACACCCCCTGCTTTCCTCCCTGCTCTGAAGAGTGTATTGGCCCCTGCTCACCTGCGTGTGAACACACACCTTTGGGAGTGTGTGCCTGCCATATGCAAGCAGAGTGGATCTCCTGCCATGCCCAGCAGTCCATTCCATTGCCCGCTGTGCAGTGGCTGTGCCAGGGTGGCTGTGAGGGGTTGTCAGCAGCCTGTGCTGTGCACCAGCGTGGGACGGGAAGCCAAGGGAACAAACAGCCCTAGGATTGTTGTATCTGGAATCTCTGTCCCGTGCACGGGCTCATGCTGGTTGTATTTGAAAAACAGATGCTTTTGGGCGTTGCATAGTCCTTGTGAGATGTTCAGCTCCTCCAGCCAGCCCTTTTTGCAAGGGAAAAACTAGTTTTATTCCATTTCTCACCTGAAGTTCCTATGGCCAAAGAACTGAAGTATGGCCTGAGAGACTTGGATATGTCAGGGAAAGCCCTCATGGGCTGCGGAAACATTTCAGAAGCAGCATGTAAAAACCCTTGACCCTTCCCCGAGCCACCTGCAGCCTGGCTCTTCCCTGCCCTGGCTGCTCCAGCCTGTGCTGGTCCCTAAGCTACAGACAGCAGGGCTGAGCCTCAGTGCAGCTGGAAAATGAACAGGAGAACTGACAGTGCCTCAAGCACAGGTTGTTTCGCACTTCTTCGGCTCATTTGTGGTGATCGACATCCAAAACAACCTTTTAAATTGCCTTTCAAGCCACAGCAGTGGTGAAGGGCGATGTGATAAGGCTGACTGCTTCTCGGGAGCCTGCTTCGTCATTTACATAATTGGACTTTTCTCTTCCACTCTGTCAATATTACAAGGCTCGCGCAGTGCGACATCTCACCTGATCTGCTGGAGGGAAAGAAAGTCCCTTGACTTTGTGTGCCTCACCCCTGTAATTGGAAGAAATATTGCCAGCTCTTTCTGCTTGCAACAGGGCAGCCTGGTGAGCTGGGTGTGCTGTGTGGGTTCAGGGAGACTTTTCTTCTCCATCTCTGAAGTGTTTATACATGTTTTACTATGTATAAACTATACATAGTTTATACATCTGTTTTATCTTCCATAGCAAGGATTCTAATGTGCCCTGTTATGTCCTGGACATGCAGGAGAGAGCAGAGCTAGTTTGCTACTTTGTCAGTCCTCAAGTGGGATTTAAGAAATAGGGTTGGTATGGCAGGAACTGGTACTAGTCTCCTCTGCATTGCTCCAGAGCACGGGTAAGGTGCGGGGTGAGGAGGGCAGTGCCAGCCACCGCCGCTGCGTGTGCTCAACCCATTTAGTGCACTTGTATGAAAAAAGAACCCCCTCACCTGGAATAAAGTTCTAGGGAAGAATTCAGTCCTGCTACTAACAGGGATGTCCTGGCTGTTTTCTTCTCCTGCTGCAATTTCAGCCTTATCCGGTTTTCTTCTCTTCCCCTGATTGTCTAGGAAGGGGTGTGGGTACTGCTGGACATCTTGCAGATGAGTTCGGCTACCCTCCTTCTTCAGCAACTGTGCACACCCCTTCTCTCCAAGGGTCTTCCTGGGGAGGGCAAGAGGTTTGGTGGGAGCAGCTCAGGCATCTTCTCCATGAACATACAGCACTGAGCACATTTTTGGTGCTGTACTTTTCCATGGTTAGGAAATGCAGCCTGTCTACTGTTCTGACTCACACAAGGAGAGCCAGTGAGTTGTGACACCCATCAGATTGATCCTGGGTGCCGTGTTTTGAGGAGGAGGGTATTTCATGCTAATACCTTCCTTCCCAGTGTGAGGTGGAAGCCTTGGAGGAGATGCAACAGCAATCGATGGTGTTTGCCTGCTGCTGCTGGAGGGGATGGAGTGGGGGAGTGATTTCAGAGATGGATTTGGCAGAGATGAGTTGCTGCTCTTTGTGCCTGTGGTGATGGAGCTGTAATAACATATTGAACATGGCAACAGCCCTTGCTAAAGCTCTGTGACTTCACGTTCGTGCTTCGTGGAGCCTCATCTCTTAACAACACCCTTAGCATCGATAACAAGAGAGGAGCTGTCGAGTGCCAAAGGGCCTAGTTAAAATCACTCGCTAAAAACCTCCTTTCTTTTTGGACCCAAACTTGCTTTTTAAACAGAAAAACTCTTTGGCTGTGTTTTAGGCAGAGAACATTCAGAGGGTTTTTTGGCTCTGCAGCTTCGTGCTGCATGGGGGGGCCGGGGGGCGATGGACGCTGGTGTGTGTCAGGAATGCTGGCTGTGTGCTCGGCAAGCGGAGAGGGGTTGTTTTAGGACAAGCTGACAGGCCCTTGGCTTGTTCTGCTGCTCTCGAAAAATGTAATTCTAATTCTTGGCACCTTTTTCCAGGAGGATAAAGAGTGAGAGCGCAGTGGAGCCTGTTCCCTCTGCCCTTGGAAATGGGCTTTTACCCAGCAGCAGAGCTGGCTCAGGGTGGGAGCAATGTGCTCTCTCCTACCCCCAGTTTGGTGGATCAAAAGCAGAAATTAGTGGGGGAGAAGTAGCATGGGGTTAAATGACCTGAACCACCTCCTCACAGTCTTGACCTCGATCTGGTTACTCTTTGGTCATCTCAGCTCTCTGACAGAGTATCTTCTGCAGGTGCCAGCATTCCGCCCGGGTTCTGCTCACCTTCATCCTGGCCGAGGGCTGGCAGTCTCTTTAACCCTGTACCTTTTCCTGTGAGGAAACTGTTCTGTGGTGCTCTGTCCTCTGGCAGTGCCAAGCAGCAGAGGAGGAGATGGGCCATGGGTGTGGGGTTTCCCAGTCCTCTGCTGCAACCCAAGGGGTTCTCCCCGAGCTGCAGAGCCCACAGGATCCTGCTCCAGCACATGCCTGCTAACCCCTGTATCCCTGCCTGTGCCTGCACAGTAACGCTTCCTTGGCTTGCCTTCAAGCAGCCTGCTCTGGTCACTGCCCAAACAGGGTCTGATTTCTTTCCTCCCTGTGCTGTTCCCTGAGGAGCAGCAGTGATCGTTTCTGCCTTCTGATCTCCACTTTGGATGCTGTCATTCCTGTGGCTGCTTAAGAAAGAACCATTGCCTGGTGCAGGTCAAGCTGTCCCACGTGGTTACGTGACCAAACCAAGCACAGGCTTTTATTTCAGGTTGGTTTTCAGGTCTGTGCTATTTTATCTTGTGCCAGCCATCTCAGGTATGATGTAGAGCACATTGCCTGTAGCAGTTAATGTGTTTCTGCCTCAGCAGCAGAGAGAGAGTGGCAGATGTAAACACAGGAATGTTACAGTCTTTCAAACACTAAAAACTCCCAAAGAATAGGTGGGTGTGTGTATATAAGTATATGCAGTGCATTATATTAATGGAGAGAGATTTGTAAATTCATGCATTCATGAATGTGTATATACTTTTTTATAGGTTTTTAAGTAATTGATAAGCCTACATTTTTATATATATATATATACACATACACATATATATGCTGCCTCGTATACTTGTAAGCTGTGTTTTTTCAAAGGCTTCTTCTAGCCTCGTTCAGTGATCCTGCCTTCAGCAGACACAAGGAGAAGGGCTCCAGTCTCAAGCAAAGCTAAATATTGATTTGAGTCAATCTGGGTGCACTTGGAGACATCACTAGTGTTCATGAATGCAGCATAATCGCTGATTGGAGTGGGGAAATTTCATCATAAAGGCCCCAAAAGGGAGGTTTATTATTGCTTTCTTCCAAATGCCTGAATTTTATTAGCTTCAGTCATTCTTGGCAGGGCAGTGGAATGGGATTTTATAGTTAGCAAAGGAAAAGTAAACACAGTAATCATTTCACAGCCCTGTGCCTGCCAAACCAAGATGGAAATTCCAGCCTTGGTGGGAAGCTGCTGCTTTACTAACAGATAATAACAAATTCACTGTGGGCTTATTCTTGCTATGAGAGTTGAGATGTTCAGGTTTTTCTGTAACACCCTGATCTGGGGAGGCAGAGGTGCTTCGTGCTTTTCTGCAGGAACAGCCTGGGCAGAGGTTTGTGGTTTGAGTAACTCCCACAGCCATTCACAGGTAGAAATGGTGTTTCTGCTCTGAGCCTTTGGGAGCTGCTCTATCCCACGCTCTTGTCAGTATTTGGTTTTTCCTTGGTCAGTCTTGCTCTGGTTGCAGAGCTGAGCGATGCTCGAGGAGTGACACGTTTGAGACGCCACAATGGTCCCTGCACTCTTTGACCATCTCTACCTGCTGAATGGGGGGAGGGATATCATGGAAAAAAAAATTCTCCATCTAAATCCAAAACTCTCATGAAAGGCTTGTTTTGCATGGTTTCCTGGGCTTGTTGAGGGCTTGGCTGCCAGCTCGGATCTGGACTCACGCCCGCCTGCGTTTCCTCGTGCTGGGGGACGTTACTTCCTCCCACCTTCCTGCCCCGCTGGCGTGGGGATGGTGGTGGGGATGGCCTGCCTGCCACAGGATGCGGCCTCCTGATGGAAAAGCAGGCAGAGCAGTGAAGGAAATGGCTACTCAAACAAGCGGCGAATGTCGAGGCAGCCCCTTCCACGTGTCTGCACAATTATTAGAACAATAAACCACTGAGCGCAGCCGGCGGCGGGCTCTGATGGATGGTGCAGCTGACGGCTGCTGTGCACCACCCGTGCTCCCTGTCAGCACGGATCCTGCCGGGGTGGAGGGCCTTGATCCGTGCTACACCACCTCTTCCACGGCACCGAGATGGAAGTTGGTGCAAGCAGCTGGGGCCGTGTCCCCCATCCCCACCTGTGTGTGTCCCAAGGTGCTGCTTGTGGGGAGTTTGGGACAGTGGCCAGTGGATGTATTTTGTGTGGCCATGGGGGCTGTCAGGCTCCTGGTGGATTCCTTGGGCAGTGGAGGGGCAGGCAGAGCATCGTCCCTATCGTGCCCCCCATGGCTTTTAGAGATGAGAGGTATTTGATGTCCAGCTTCATATACTTGAGAGCACAGCCAGGATGAATCTGTACATTAGGTTACCTGGAGCAAGGAAGTAGTGACATGCAGCTGGTGAGAGGAGCTCGGTGGATTGCTGTAGGAGCAGGTATTTCAGTTTTTTGAGCTGACACAGTTGGAAGAGGAGCTGCTGGGAGTGAGCAGGGGTTTGGTGCTGGGACTGTCACCCCATGCCCAATGTGCTGGGAGTCCCCAGCGTAGTTGTTGTCCCCAGGGGAGTTGTTGGTGATCCTGGCTTGGTGCATGGAAGAGGAGGTTTGAGTTCGTCCCACAGTGCACCTCAGCCACTGCTCAAACCATTTTATGTCTTGTTTGCATTTCCTTTCTCCGTCAGTCTGTCTCCTCCTTGGTGGGCAGCTTGGTCCCCAGGATTTAGGTAAAATAATTTTCGGTGATGGTTTTGAAGAGGGAGGAGGAGCTGCCTTTAAGTGTATCTCACTGATGGCAGTGGTTAAAAAGAGCTGTCTTCAGTCATTCCCTTCCCTCTCCTAAATTTGATGCCCTTTCAAACCAAATTCCCAATATTGATGCTATGTGCCATCTTGATTAACTCCCAGACAAATCCCTGCTTCACAGGGCTGCCGAGTGCTGCCCTATGTGTATCCCGCTGGGATGTGCATGGCTGAGGAGTCCCTGCTCCTCCTCGGCCTCCTGCCTCCTCCCTGGCAATAGGAGGAAATTTAAATGTTTCTGAAGAGCAACATTTCCATTTCAAAAGCTGTTCGTTCAAGTGCGTCTGGAGTGGGATTTCTCTCCCCCACTCCTCTCTGAATGGGAGCTTTAGAAGTCTCATTTCCTCTGCTTGATAACACCAGGCTGAGAAGGGCTTTTGTCTTTTCATTTCCCCTCAATTTTTTATTTTTAAATCAGTGAGGTTTGGAGAAGCTGCTGTGGTGGATTTTCCCTCCCCCGTGTTTGTCCGTGTGCTGGAGGATGCACCTGGCATCACCCAGTGAATGAGCTGGAGCTTCCTGGGGAACAGCCCCAAGCTGAGCAGGCACCCACCTGGGAGCACCCTGCCAGTTGCTCCTGGAAGCAGAAGAGGAGGTTTGCTGGCATGCTTATGCCACCCTGCCCTTTCCA